TGTTTGCGTAAGGCCGTCCACCGATGGTGAGACTGACAGTGGAAAAATTGCAAATCTTCTTTTGGAGAGAAAGCTTGTATGAGCGATGCAAACGGCAACCTTTAAACAGAGCTTGCACGAGGAGAATGAGGTGCTCGTGCAAGCTCTCACATGCGTTCAACAGGCTTTCCCTCTCAGGAACTGGTTTGTGCATGTGCTTTTTGTTTTTTTAAACCAGAGAAGGTGGGTCTTTTCAAAAATTCACAAAGATCCTTTTAGTTCAAATACACATATGCCACAATTTCCCATTTCTAAAGATGTTTGAGCGTTGCACAGACTAATTGAGCATGTTCTTTCTTCTATGAATTGATTTCAGTCCATTTTTAAAGAAATAAATACACAAGAGATTATTTTGAGGATCTACCTCCTCGGGTCGGCCAAAAAAATTGTCCAAAAAGATCAGTGAAATATTTTGGCTGTAATTCTAATAGTACCATCATGTGGGAAAAGCTGATAACATTATCTTTTCTGTATGTTTACAGTGTGATAAATTGTTTAAACTGGAAATTAATCACAAATCAAGCGGTTTAGATGGCAAGGGCTACTATTTAGACTTGCAGTAATGTAATGTACCTATTTTGGCTTAAATTTTCCCTTCATGCCTTGACCTCCAGCAAAATTGAATTTAGGTACTGTATTTGCATTTTAGAAATCTTCAATGTGAAATAAGTCATGGGCTACTTGCCATTCTCAAGTTTATTCCCAAGTTGTTATTTACTTAAAGGGACAGGTGAGTCTATTCTGAATGATTTTGGTCCTCAAATAGTCACAAATTGAAAATTGAAAGATAAATGACTGACAATTTCAAGCCAAAATCCAGCATCTGCTAACCAATTAAATTGGTTGTACAACTATTGAATTGTTACCATATCTGTTGCTCCCCTTTTAGTGTCTCTAAAGAAAAATGAACTTTTCTTTTCGGCGGCTTTGGCACCTAATATATTGGGGTTTAAGAATAGCCGTAATGTTTGATAACTCAGTGCCAGAGGGTTTGGCATAACTGTTTTTAACTTTTTAATTTTTTTTCTTCCAGGGGATATGTTTGCATTATTGTAAATGTTGCCTCTAAATGAGGAAAGACGAAGGTAAACTACACTCAGCTTGCTGAAATGCACGCCAAGCATGCTGAGAAAGGTTTACGCATCCTGGCTTTTCCATGCAACCAGTTTGGAGGACAGGTGATGCATGAGAAACCGATGTCAGGACATGTCCTCTTTAAAAAGGTCTTGCTTTTATTAATTATTTTTCATTGCTGTGTGATATAGGAACCGGGGACAGATGCGGAGATTAAAGAGTTTGCCAAAGGTTACAATGCAAAGTTTGACCTCTTCAGTAAGATTGATGTAAATGGTGACAGCGCTCACCCTCTGTGGAAATGGATGAAAGCACAACCCAAAGGAAAAGGATTTCTTTCAAAGTAAGTCATTTTCTACTTTTTGAGACGTCAATGTTGAAATCCAAGATGTGCAAAATACCCTTTCACAGAACTCTGCTACTTTAGCCATGTCTAAGTCACTATTTCAGCAAACTTATTGATTGATTGACTTTACTGATCAGCTCAAATAGTCAAAGTAGAAGAAAGTGCCAAAGGAAGAAAAAGGTGCATGGGAAATATACAGCTTTTGTGTGTGTTGTTTTTTTTTAAATAGTAGGATTGTTATACAGGATTATTGCACAGGGTGTTTACATGGGTATTTATATAGATGTGTGTGTGTGTGTGACAAGTTATTGCTGTAGTAGTGTTGCATTGTAGAGTTGTAGCAGGGATTAATGACCTGCGGTAGTGTTCCTTTTTGAAAAAAGGGGGCGCAAACGTAACCCTGTTATAGGTGATTCTCTGCTTCATTGTTCTAAATAAGTGACTTTAAAAAATGTGATACAGATAATTTCAGAAGTTGTAAAATCATGTATACTGAAGCAGGAGAGCTTCTAAAATGTAGAATGGTTTTAAACTGAAGTATAAAGTACTATAGTATAATGTAACACACACACAAATACTTATTATTAGTATGCCAGTCTTTAAGAGTCGTGTATGCAATTAGGGTTGCCTATGCTTTACTATAAATACTGGGATGTAACGCATATGTTTCTCCTCCAATAACAGCAACATCAAGTGGAACTTTACTAAGGTAATTTGAAAAAAAATATTGGAAGTTTACTTCTAAAAGCTTGTCTTCAACCAAGTGTGCCTAACTCTGAGTGATCTCTCTCCTCTAGTTTCTGATAAATAAGGAAGGGGAGGTGGTGAAGAGATACGGTCCCAATGAGGATCCAAGCGTAAGTTGTACAGCTGTGTTTACATATTTCTGTTCAAAAGCAAATCTCCCCCATCTAACATTAGACTTGTTACATGATGAATGATAAGAAGCAATAAATGGATCTGTTCATGGCTGACTATTTCTTTGACACTGAAACATATTTCTCTTTGCAGGAGGTGGAGAAGGATTTGCCAACATACATGTAAATCTGCACTGTGCTCCTGTTTCCTCTCAAATGGATTTCGGGGTATTTGTGTGGGTGGATCTGGACCTGTGACGGACCTGTCCGTAAACCCATCCTTGGGGTGGACAGGGCCTGATGACCCAGCGTGCAACTTATTTCCAGAAAAGCCCACTTTATGCCTTGTAAAACCATGTGAGAGGAAAACTATTAAACCAACTGCATCATTTATCACTCTAAAATCAGTCATTCCCTTTTCCAGTGGCAATAGAATCCCGTCTTTTCCTGCCTGTCATTAGTTTTAGGAGAACATAAATGACCTCAATAAATAAGCTTTTGGTCAAGCTACTGATAGCTTAGTTTGCACTTGTTGTCTATGTTCCCTGTTGAGACTCACACTGGTAATTTATGAAATGAGATATAAAAATAATAAAGAAGTTTTGAACTGCATTGTATTTGTTTGATTATTACGTTCAGTCTATGGGTAGATGCGATTTGCAGTGGAGATCAGCTTTTCTAGATGGCTTTGAATGTCATAACCTTGTTATGGATTTAGGCCAAAACCATCTCAAGTTAAAATGTTTGGCATAGTGCATTTCTTTTGGCTTCAACATGTTTTAATTTGTGAAATGGCTTCTAGCATGACTTTGCTTAAATTGAGGTTTTCAGCTGAGACTGACTAGGCCATTTTGTCCAAATTTTCAGGATTTTCTATTGTCTTTACTCTGTCACAAGTACAGAGCAACAAAACGAACTCTGCATTTAACCCATCCGTTTGGGGAAGCAGTGGGCCGCAATTGTGCGGCGCCTGGGGAGCAGTGTGGGGTTTGTAGCACAGCGCAGGATTACTGGGATAGTGAGATGACTTCAGCTTTAACCCTGACTTCCCGGTACCACAAAACTGGACCTGCCAACCTGCATAAAGCAGGCTATCTTTCAGAACTGATTTGAATCCAGACAACTCTCCAGCCGGCAGCCAATCAGTTGTTCTGGAATCCACGTGCCTTTTCATCGAAGACCTGATTATAATTCAGAGGGATAAAGGAACCTGAAAACTAAAAAGCAGTTAAAATCTCTTCTTGGCAAATTGACTAGTTTTCTGTTAGTTTATTTTTTGCTGCTCTTTGACTTGCCATTTAATATTCTGTATTTGCTTTAAACTGCATATATATATTTTTTTAACAATTTGAATAAGTTACCATGCTCTTCTAATAATTTTGGTTGGTAAGCTGGCCTCCTGGAAAGGTTCACCATTGTTCCATCATTGAGTTCTTCATTTCTAGGTAATTACTCTTATTTTACTTTACTGAAGTCCCAAAGCAATGACTTTGTGGATTTGGTCATGACGTGTTGTTCAGGGGCGGAGCTAGTTACAATTTATTTTTCTCTACTGATGGTGACAGCAGTAATACTCTCAAGTAGAATATTCAAAACATTTTAATTTTTCATATATTAACAAATACAATGTGATATGCACATCAATATACTTACATTAAAGATGATAAATACAGAATTTGAGCAGAACTAGATGTGTTTTATGGAGTAAAGAGAAAATTATGTCTGCAAGTCATGTAGATATTAGTACTTGTAAATATCAATTTTATGCAGAATGATAACTGATAAAAGTAGGTAAGTAATGACAATGGAAAAGATGTTCGCCCAAAATTCAAATCTGAAATAATTTTATCCACTATACCTTTTATGTGGAAAGAACAGATATTTGAATATATTTGCCTATTTATTAGCAAAGGCTGTGGGAAAATATGGATGCTTTGCCTGTTAATTTTCCTGTTGGAAAAGTGTAGATTGACCATGAGGTCTTGGATATACTTTCGGCCACCCCTCAGTGTTCATTTGTTATTGCCTGGCCACCCTCATAAAGATTTTCTGGTGTTGTTTGGACATGTTTGATCTCAAAACAGGTTTTTAAAGGTATCCGTTGATGACGAATCGGTAATAAGATATTGGTTTGGATCATGAAGTTCATATAGAATAATGCAGCAGGTTCCATAAATTCCTCTATTCGGAAGAAAAAAAAAAGTATGCCCCTGTTAGCATCAATAATAGCCGCAAGACCCAAAACCAATGGTATAAATAACAGTAAGAAGAAACTGCAGTTCCTTATGGGCAGCCTTCACAATTATGGAATAGGAGGTCTGATTGCAGACGTAATGAATAGAAACATTTCTCTTAAACCTAATTGAAAACTTTCAATTTTGACTGGAGCTTATTTATACCCCAACATATGCCAGATTTCAATAGGATGGTGAGCCGTTTAAACACGATACCAATAGCAAAGCAGATAGTGGTACTTTTAATTACTGTGTTAATAACTGTATATTTCATTAGACGGTTAATAAAAAAAAAAACCGCTCATAAACCGCAATAAAGATACTAAAAGAACGATGTATCTGAGTATTTCTATCTTTTACACTAGAACTTAGAATTCTGGGTAATCCAGTGTGTTATACTTCATATGGGCCCACCCAGATAATGTTGCTTACGGGCCTATTGTTGTGTCGTTACGCCACTGCCCAAAACGTTATCTTTTTATTTAAAAAAAAAATGTAATTATTATTTAAAAAATAAACGGTCCAGTCCAGCAAATGTAGCTGATGCAGGGAGGAGAATGACGCACAGCAGGCGGAGAGGATCAGCACCACTGGCTGTGAGCGAAGCAGCCGCGCTGCAAAAATAAATAAATAAAATGCAGCGACTGAACACATTGACCGGAGTGATGTCTGTGCAGCTGAACGGGGAAATAAGTAAGATGAGAAGCGCTGCCGTTTAGCCACCGCCGCTCATTCCTGCAGAGGCTGACAGGGTTGCGCATCGGGATATGGACTCAGGGAATGCGGCCACCGGGGATGATGGGAGCCCTACAGGCGCAGGGGCCGCCGGATCCAGCCTGCAGCTTGACTTCGGGGACACCGGTAGGTACTGCAGCCTATGGGTTCCGAAAAATCCAAACCTCACAGCAGGTTTTGGTATATGTAATGTTGGGTTTTGACAGTTTATAAATAGGCTATAGGCGAACACAACGTTTTGAATGTTGAATTCACTGCAGCAGTAATTATAGTGGCTCCATGAAAGCTGCATGTTTGGGGATGTTTACGCACAGCCTGTTTGGATGAGCAAAGATAGCTTTATGAGGATGGAGCTGCTTTGCTGTCAACTGTGCACACACTATGCAAGATAAATGGAAATATGACTGCATATGTATTATTTTAATTCTTATAATCTCTGAAATATGTCAATCTGAAGGATAGCACATTTTAAAACAAATCACACTTTAATCATCCTTTGATTTGCTGCAAATAAGTGCATGGCTGTGCATTGTTGTTTATTTAGTAAAGCAGATTATAAACACCTGCAGAGAGCTCTTGTGGAAATCAACATCTATGGTTATGTTCAGTGATGCATAAATGTCATAGCTACAGACGGCCATTTCCACAGCTGATAAGAGGCATATTTAATCCTCTTTACTATGACACATACTCAGTCCCTCAGGACACATTTCAAAAGTGCCAAAGTGTGGTATTATAGTGTTATCCTTGGGCTGCCGCTAGTTTATTTTTTGTTTTTGTGCATACATTTTGAAACTGAGTGCTCCACTAGTGGGTCATCATGTTCAACATAAACATGACAGTGATCACTGCATGTTTGCTACCTGCTGCTCAGTGACATTTATTCTGCTCTGACCCTAATCCCACAGAGATTGCTTGTGTTCCTGCGCTACACCCATTGTCCCAGCATTAATCTACAGGTTACAGGTGTTGGCACTCTGATGAATAAAAAAAAAAGTAAAAGGCTTTTTTAGGTAAAGCTGCTTAAAGTGGGCCACGAAAGCAAAGCAAATTAATCCAATAAACACAAATCACCTAATTTTATACCAAATAACCATACTCACATATTTACTTATGCATTTTTATCTTGCCTTTCTAAGTCAAAGTTCTAATTGTTCTTACAAAACCAATATATTACAGTAGAATTTTTTTAAAACTTATTTTGATCAAAATACGTTGGTCATTTTAACAGCTGTTAAAACTTGTACTACTTCCCCACACTCCCTACTACACTGTCTCTTTCTGCACTTCGCTCAATGTCTGAACTCTATGTCACCCTGTCACCCCTGACCTACTATGGCTAGACGCCAGTCTGCTAAGTAGCTTATTGTTAGCTTTGATGTGAACTACATTGAGGAATCCATATATAAAGTCCATCGATCCATCTTCTCCCAGTTATTCTGTTAGGGTCAGGTTGGCCTGGTGCCGATCTCTGGCAGTCTATTGGCGAGAGAAGGCGTACACCCTGGACAGGTCACTAGTCTGTCACAGGACAACACAGAGACAGACAAAGACATGGAACCATGCAGACACACACAAACACACACACACGGGCAATTTAGAGAAGCCATTTAACCTAACAGTCATTTTTTTTGGACTGGAGGATCCGAAGCTGGAGTACCCAGAAAGAATCCATGCATTTACAGAGAGGACATGCAAACTCCATGCAGAAAGACCCAGGGCTGGGTATCGAATCCAGAACATTCTTGCTGCAAGGCAACAGTGCTACAAACTGTGTTACCATGCAGCCTGGTACATATGAAGTAATTTTGGACAAAAATGCATAAACATGTTTTTGAAGACATATCTCTTGGATCAACACTAGATTTGGTGAACATACCCAAAATTGTATACTTCCCTGAAATTGTCGGCACACTCTCTGTGAAAGCTATAGAAAGAACTATAATTTACGCAACAAATTAAAATTCTGTCTTAAACTTGAGGTCAACATCATTTCAAAGCCAGCACCCAACCAACAAGGAGTTATTCCCTGAAGGACTAAGAAACAGTAGTTGAAATGTGATAGACCAACGCCAAGTAGTGTATTATTGTAAGCCTAAAGGATCATTTAGTTTTAACAAAAAAAGCGAAAACTATGGGCTGAATTTTTGGTTTGCCGCCTTCAGTTAATACTTCACACAACTCTGTTTTATAGAGTGATTGCCTCAAAATGGTTGTACAAAAAAAATAAGAGGTTAAGGCCCCGTCCACACAAAGTCAAAACAAACACGAAACGCTGATATTTTCCAAAACGTTTGCCGTAAAGACGGAGACGTAAAATAAATGTGAGCGTCCACACGAATGCATGAAAACGCTGCAAAATGTATGCCAGGCCTGTAAGTGGCGCTGTGGTGCCAAAGAAAAAATAAGCGACGAATGTTGGGCATGCGCACTAATATTTATACATGGTTGCCCTGCGGGTCCATTTTCGTGGTTAAATTAAAATTAAGGTGCTGAACTATGTGGTCGATATTGCTCTGTTCTTCCTGGAGATATTCCAGAAGAAGAAGATTCGGTAGTAAGCCCGACAGCAGGGTGAGTAGCATTAGCAGCAACGGCGCCATTGTTGTTGTGATACTGGTCGCGCATGCGTGTTTAGAGGCGACGCTATGACGCATGAGTGTAAAAAAAAATATGCGGTTAGAGCGTAAAGATGGAAACGCCAAAACGGCGTTTCGAAATCTTCCCACTCTGAAGGCTGAATAAAAAAAAGATCGTTTACAGACCCCCGAAACGCCGGCTTCGTGTGGACGAGAGGCTGGTTTGGTGAAAAATTTGTGCGTTTAGGCCAGGGTTCTTCTTCGTGTGGACGGGGCCTAAGGGTTCCATCAGTTATGTCGAGGCGTATTTCATGAGTTTATTTTCTATAATCATTCTGTTGAAGCAGGACTGAAATGCAATGTCTGACTTTCATTTGTCTATTTTCATATGACATTTATTCATTAGTACTTCTGTGAGATTCAAGTAAATTCCATGACATTGTGGTTTTTTCTTGTGTTAAATGAGGGGCATCAACAATTCTGTCCATGTTTGTTTGTTGAATAGTGCTTACATCCAGCTTGCATGCCAAAATCTGCCTGCTAGCTGCAAATCTCTTCTCTTTTGTGTGGTGACAAACCCACTGTAAACCTACTCAACCGCAACCAGAGGACTGGAATAGAATAAAAAACAATGTGATGTTTACATTGTTAAATGTGACCTGAATACCCCAGTGATTTATGTGTTGTTGTTTTTTTTGTAACTGTAGGTATATTGTTAATGCAATTAGTCTGCCTTGGTTTGCATTTTAGAATATTTTAACATTATATTCAATTTAAAATCTGGTTGTAGGTAGAATATTGTCCTGTTAGAACCTCCAACACTGCTTAAAGCTACCAACAGGTTTCTCTTAGGATTTCCCTGTTTGATTTCCTGACCAGTTCCCTGCTGAAGAAAACATTTCCACATCATGATGCTGCAATCACTATGTTTAAATCTGGGCATGTTGTGTTCAGGTTGATTTCTTTGTATAGTCTCAGTTGACCAAATCTTTGTGTTGCAGCGGTTTGCTGAGTTCCTAACATAACTTGTGGAAACTTTACATGAGACATTTAATGGTCTGTCAATGATTTATTGCTTTTGCCATATTTCCTCCATGGTCTGATTTGTGGACTGCATGAATTCTAATTGTCTTTTTAACAGAAAGGACTTCGGACTTGGCTGCTTATCTGATTAATGCTAAAAGCTAATATGCTGGTAAAGATTCTCAGTCATCCAGGTCATAGTCATTCCAAAAAAAGAAAATGAAAACAATCCACTGGACTTTGGATAGGAAGCGAAACGTCTTCAAACTTGGGGAAAAAAAAGTGGATTGTTTTTAATGCTCTTGTTTAGATGGAACACTTTTTCTTTTTTTTAGATAATAAAGTTTACTCTACGAGATGCCCAAAGCGTGGAATATGGATTCGGACCTACAGCTGTATAAACACGTATCTTAATTGAATTTATTTAATGCAAACATTTAATTTGTTTAATGACTGTGTTTGTTTCCACTAACCCAAACAAACAATAAAAAAAGAAATCAATATAAATTATTTTACATTGCCCTGCTTTAGGGAGGGCTCTATCTTCTGCAGTCTCTGCTGTGTTTAACTTTTTGAGGCTTCAATATGTATTAGCCCTGCTCATTAGCAGAACTCATCTTCCTCCTGATTACATATAGCAAACTACAAATTAGCATAAAAGGCTATACTCCAAGTAGTCAGAACCATAGCGTGATGTCTATTTCTGATAAACTTCCTCTTCCTGTCTAACAGCCCAACGCATACACAGACAGCATGGGTCTCCCGTGTCTGGTGGAAAGATTCTTTTTAATCCTTAAGAGTGATTGGTTGCTGATGTGATCTGCAGTGCCCAGCCAATGGTAGCTCTCAGATTAGGGAGGAAGTCAATCCAATAGAGTTTTTACCTTGCCTGTACAAATCTACAAATCTCACTGATCCAGATATAGAAAGCAGAAGACCTCAAGGCTGTGAGAGATTTTGCTTCTGGTTCCTTTTGCTCTAGTTTTTTTAATTTGTTTTCATTTTTATCAGTTTTGCTGGATCATCAAACCTAAACAAAACCTTAACCTGTTGTTGTTGAACTCTTCTTCTGGTGAGTTAAAACACCAATTATTCCGTAGCAAGGGTAACGTAATGTTGTTAAATGACCCTTTTGGAGTTAAGGTATTATTTAGAGCGGCTGCTATATGCAACTGCTGGTAAATATCGCTTTTAGGAAATTATAACCTATGGTGGTAAAATTACAGCCACTTGGAAAGCCTATTGCCCTTTTTTGTGCTTGTACTTTGGTGACATTCATCAACACCACAAGCTTGAATTTAGAGCCGCCATAACACATTAAATAACAAATAACATTAAATAATGCATTGATTTAGACACTTCTTGATCCTCCTCTCCTCTGTGTCTACAGATTCAACCCAGAAAGCTCAAATAACGGAGGTGAGAGGCTACTTCACGCGATACACCTGTCCTTCTCATCTGTCCTTTGGGTTTATTCTACCTACTGTTTTGAGTTATTGCATAATTCAGCTCAACTTTATGGGGCTTTAAACATTGTCTTTGTCACAGTTACAATGGCTTTCCCTTGTTTGTTTCTGGTTTCAGATGCCATCCCTGTTTGGTACGGAACCAGCTCGCGAGAAGAAGATTGGCCATAGGAGAGTAGATGCCCATGGAGAGACAACATACAAAAAAGTGAGCTTTTCCTTTATTTAAAATTCTCTTTCCATTCATATTTGTTTTCTGAAATGTGTGAGATTCTCTCCACCTTCAGACCACCTCATCTGCCTTGAGAGGGGCAATCCAGCTGGGGATCGGATACACAGTTGGCAACCTCAGCTCCAAGCCTGAGAGAGATGTCCTCATGCAGGATTTCTATGTGGTGGAGAGCATCTTCTTCCCAAGGTGTGTGTGTGTGTGCTGGGGTGTTGCATAAAATTACATTTGTTGTAACTTTCAAACCATATTAAATATTATATTAGACCTAGTATAATATAAGTCCTAAATGTCTCTTTTAGTGAAGGTAGCAACCTCACTCCGGCTCATCACTACCCGGACTTCAGGTTTAAAACCTACGCCCCCGTGGCTTTCCGCTACTTCAGGGAGCTGTTCGGGATCCGACCAGACGACTACCTGGTAAGGTCTATAACACAGATTATAATCCAAGCAAGTATAAAACACAGATTATGTTATATATCTCCTTACAAGCATTTATATATCTGTGTGTCCTTTTAAAGTGACATGCAACAGTCTTACACTGTGTTTAATTTGGATTTTATGTGAAGGGTAATTTAAATGTATCTATTCTTTTTTGTTTTTGGCAAAAAACATCAACTATTTAAGGTGTTATACGAATTTTATACAGCCTAAATATAAGTAAAACATATCTTGCTAAAGTACTATTATATATCTAATTTATCTAAATTGTTTAATTGGCCCAATTTAATCTTAGTATAAATCCAGCAGTTCTGTGAAAGCCTCAAAGGTTTGTTTGGGAACAATAATTAAATCAAAAATCCTAAAAACCAGTGAGGGAAAGCTTTTAGCACCTTACAGGGCACTGTTTAACCAATCATCTGAAAATAAATATAGTGTGGCGCAACAGTATACTTACTGATACATGGCTATCCACCTAAAGTGAAAGGTTGCTAAAAAAGAGCATTAACTAGAGAAGCAGTTATAATGTCAGAGTTAACAGGTGGGAGGATGTTGGCAGGACAAATATTTGTTATGCACTCATAACTGGCCTTTATTAAACAGTGTCAGGAAAAAAGATTCATAAAAAGAAATTCTATAACAGGTGAAACTTCACGTCCTGCATGGTGCTTTGTCTTCTTTAAGTCACGTAGACACAATGAACATGTGAAAGAAGGTAGATTAACTGGGCCTTGATGCAACACTTAATAGAGTTTACAGGAAGAGATATGCAGCAAAGTACAGATGAAGCTCAAAAGAAAACTGGTGAATGGCTGTAAAAGGCTTGAGGATGAGAAAAGGGTTGTTTTTCCTGTACAATAGCAGAAAATTTATGCGTATAGTCAAACGGACAAGGCAAAGGTCCAACTCTTACTTATCTTTAAGAATGATCCAATCAAACACTAGACCTAAATCAGATAGATATTGTTTGCTGAGGGTAATATGAGTGAAATGGGTGAAAAAACTGAGCAACATAAATTGAAGTAAATTTATTCCAATATTTTGCATTGAAGTATCGACAGGCACTGTGTTCTTATATTTCTGGATAGTGGTTCATGTTAAACCAGATAAAAGCAGCCAAAATGCTCTTTATTTGCACAAAAACACTCAGCTGCAAACGATTATAAGGTAAAAATCTTACTGTATTACACTGAGTGCAGTTTTAGTCTATACTATATTATACAGTAAATAGCTTTGAAGTGTCATTTGTAACTATGTGATAGACCTTTTTCGACGTACACGGTGCTTCCTGAGGCAACTGGGGGGTTAAAATCTAAGAAACTGATGACCTTTAAGAGTCCATAGGTGCATGTAAACATTTCCTCATGAAAATCTTCATAGCAGTGTTCTTGCACAAGCCTTTGCGGATCATGGATATCATGGTGAACCGTGGCCATATACATAGTGACAGCCGTACGTTGAAGCATCCGGCCCTGCTAAGGGGATTAGCAGAGAAAAGCCTTCCTTTGAGACAGTGGATTCTCCACAATTTACATTTGTTTGTATCTTCTTGCTGTTGCTCTGCCTGTTGAGCAGGAGTTTAATATTTTCTAGTAACTCACAATGAGTACATTTTGCAAACTACATATATGCTCAACCTTTGTTTGTTCTTAGCTTAAGTCTCAATGCCCTTTCCAAGCAATTCATGTATGGTAAGATTGTCAGAGTAAGCATTGATGCTGTATTGCATTTGTTTGTTCAAGATGTCTGTACTAATGTCACCTTGCATTTTCCACACCAGAACTGGTTTTGATGTGTTGTTCTGCAGCACACAAGTTAGTCACATTTTAATGACTTGACCCAGACTGCATTGCTTGAGATAAACATAGAGGAAAATACTTAATAGACACAAAGGAGGCTGTCGGAACACTAGATATACTGTCCATGGACTGAGAAAACCCGGTCAGGAAAGAAACAGACTGACCAAATGCCTTGTAGTTCAACAGCTTTGTGGTCAGAGGAGACAATTTTGGAAAACACACAATGGCTCCTCCATTTTGGAGAACTAGTACATTGCATAAAGTCTGTTTAATAATTAATGAGGAAGACTTTCTCTAGATTCTTTTTTGCTTCTTAAAGCACAAGTAGATGGGCTATATTTGGAAATAGATTGGTTTTTCACTCACAGCAGCTTAAAACACATTAAAACTCCATTAGAATTAGAAAATACTGGCCAACAAGACCTCGAGTACAATAAAAATATGTGCACAATGCCTAAAAATCGAGTGCTGGCCATGAGAACAACCAATTTGAACAAATCATATCATTTTGTCTATAAAGATAAGTTAGGTTTCTTTGCAACAGGAGTTTGTAGATCGTTAAGAATATCTGTGGTTAAGGTGCAACTTCTTAATAGCCTTTTAATAATAGGTTATTAGGAAAGTAAGTGTTAATGTTTTATGTGTGTTTATGATAACATTTAAGGTATTTTTGAATTTGATTGAATGTAAGTGTATATTTTGACCATTGTGTAGATAATTAAAGATAACATAAAGCAAATTTATAAATGGAACAATAAAAACCCACTGAACATGTGCTTTGTTTTATTATTCCTTCGCTAAAAATTATTGTGATACCATGGCTTAACAATCAGCTGTTTTCTCTTTTTATTTAAAACAAAAGCTCCTGACTTTGTAGCGCTATTTTGATCCTTTTGAATAGTAATACAGAAATGTTACATTTATTGTTACCTGAAAACAAAATGTAGATGATTTCATTAAATTGAAAATGATAATTTATTAATTTTAAGCAGATAAAACAGTGGTCTTGTGTTTATACTGTATTTTCCCATGATGTAAATCTAAGCGACAGACTTGATAGATCAAATTCTAATCCGTTTGTCCTTTCTCTCTCTCTCTGTCTAGTATTCGCTGTGTAATGAGCCACTGATTGAGCTGAGTAATCCGGGAGCGAGCGGCTCCATATTCTATGTGACCAGTGATGACGAGTTTATCATCAAAACTGTCCTGCACAAGGAGGCTGAATTTCTGCAGAAATTACTCCCTGGATATTATATGGTAAAAAAATAGTAGTTCTCTTGAAACATTTTCTGAATGGGATTCTGAAATGTATCTTTAGATTCAGTGCCATAAACAATCATTTGACCCCTTACATATTTATTTTCTTTCCACTTCTTTGTCCCAATTACATGTTCTATATCATCAAAGCAATTTAAATCAGACAGACATATCAGTAGGAAAAGGTTTTTCAAGCCACCTGCACATTGGTGAAAATTACCCCTCTCGATTGATTTATAAATTAAATAATGAACTACTGTATATCTTCTGCAGGCCGTAATGCTAACCTGCCTGACTGGTAGGAAAAAAGATGAAATAGAGTCTGCTTGACAACATGAAGTAGGTTAAAAATTAACATACCAGAACTCTACCAATAGTTACATTATTACTCATCCAGGAAGTCATAGAAGAAACCTCAACAACATGTGAAGCAACTTCTAAAAGATCCAAAAGAGTTTTTGAAAAAAGTATCTTTAGACTGATGAAACAAAAGGGGGACTTAGGGTCAAACATAGTAGTAGTAGTTTGAAGGTCGAGGCCTACTTTGCTGCTTCAGAACATATGAATTCATCTCTTTGAAGAGAAGTGGGATCCTGTCTAATTATAATCTTAATTTTAACCAGAATTCCAATAGCCAAGTCTAAATGACTGAAAAATGTAAGTAAAGGTTTTGGAGAGTCCTAGTCAAAGTCTGACCTTTAAAACTGTAAAATGTTCTTATATAAGCTACGTATTTGGGCTAAAATAACTCAGATCCAGCAGAATTAAAATACAATTGCGACAAAATTCCTTCAATATAACTCACTGACAGTTATCATAAAAGCATGAAAGCAGTCGATGCCAAAGGTGACAGAACCAATTTCACATAGAGCTCTGTGGGTGTAGCTTTTTCTCCCTTGATTAATTTGTTTATCACCATTTATAAAGTGCAGTTTGAGTTAATTGCGACTATGTTTGTCTGATATTTCAGTTTGTTTATTGATCCGTAAAAATAGAGTGGGATGAAATATTTGCCTATTAAACTAAGCAGATATTTTTTCATGTCACTCTAAATTTAGCATTTTATAGTTTCTACAATAGCTGCCCATGGACCATGGGCTGTTTGTGTACAATCCTCATACTTAAGTGGAGAATCTTCTAGTCCAGTTGATCCTCTTTATCCACCCCCGGTGCTGGCTCTCAGTCAGGTGTGACATCAGTAGGTGACTTTGTGATAGGTTAAAGCTCACATACATGCTCAGTTCTCAGGAGATAAGCATGCACTCAGGCCTGTGCTGTGGTCTGATGGAGTCACACTCTTTGGCAGGTGCAAACGCCAGCGGGACAAAAGCCAATTACCACTAATATGCTCTGTTTCCTTTTTCTGTCTATTTTTTTTTAACCCTTCATCCAGAACTTGAACCAGAACCCTCGCACATTGCTGCCCAAGTTCTTTGGCCTCTACTGCATCCAGTGTGGAGGCAAGAACATTCGAATAATTGTGATGAACAATATATTGCCACGCTCGGTTAGCATGCACCTCAAGTTTGACCTAAAGGGCTCGACGTACAAGAGGCAAGCATCCAAGAAGGAAAGAGAAAAGTCCAAACCCACATTTAAAGATCTGGATTTTTTGTGTGACATTCCTGACGGCCTCACACTGGATCAGGAAACGTACAACGCTTTGGTCAAAACTTTGCAAAGAGACTGCCTGGTGAGAAAGAAAGCAAAGGGAGGGAGGGTACATAATAGATACTGTAAAGGAGAAGAAAATACAGAATGACTAATACAGAAACTTACATTTAACCTCTTGCAAAACATTTAAATTATGTTGTAAGAAAACATGTCTGATCACGCCTTATTTTGCTGTAGGTTCTGGAGAGCTTTAAGATTATGGATTACAGTTTGCTGCTTGGCATCCATAACAAAAGCCTAGCAGAGAAACAAAATCAGTCCCAGGGATCACCAGCAGGAGGCGGTGATGAGAAGAAGCCCTCAGGACAGAGGGCTCTGTATTCCACTGCTATAGAGTCCATACAAGGAGGGACCACATGCAGGGAAACTCTGGAACATGATGACACGTAAGATCCTAGTTCATAACATTCATAGTAATATTCTTACTGTATTTAAACCTGGTGGCAATTTGTTTTTCCTGTCTAGTATGGGAGGTATTCCAGCTATGGGAAGTAAGGGAGAGCGCCTCCTTCTGTTCATTGGGATTATTGACATTCTGCAGTCCTACAGGTATGGAAACCAGCACATCTGTTGTATTTTAATCACCTAAAGAGCTGACTAGAATCATATATTGCACTGTGTTTTTCTTTCTTCTTTAGAATAGAGACATAACATACTAGTTTAAAAGTGCAAGTTTAAATAAGTTAATTAGTTGTGTCTAAAGTCAGTTTTCAAGTGACAGTGTCTTTTGTGGTTTACTTTTTTCATTTCACACTAAATCCAATTAACGCCTTATTAGGCTTCTGCAGAACTAATAGTAATAATAAGAAGAATAAGAATAATTAAAGATAGTGGTAATTAAAAGAAAGAATTAAAAGAATTATAAGAATGAATTTTTGACACCCTGATTTCCTCTTAAACTGTCAATGAATCTTCATACGGGGGAGCAGTATGCAGTTTGGGCCCAGAGTTTAAGGTCTCTTTCATTATATTTTCATGTATGGTTAGAAAATATATATATAAAACCACAGTGGGTTTAACCATAGAAATCAATCCTAATGTGAATAAATAAATAAACATTTGATATATGAGTGAATAAGGTGGAAAATGTAAGAAACTACCTAAAATGCTCATGATTGTTTCTAATACTCTTAAGCTAAATCCAGTCAGCCAGTTGCCTTTAAAAGTCACCTCTGCATGGCATCTAATCTCATCTAATCTCAGAATAAATCCAGCTGTTCTATAAAGGCTTTATGGGTAAGACTATTTATGAACAAATAATTTGGAAATCAAAAAGCACAACAAAGAGGGCAGGATAAAGTGGGAAAAGCTTAAAGGAGGACTTGAAACTAAATCCTCATTTCGTCTATCTTGCTGTCAACATAATCAAAAAACAGAGAGAGTCTGGTTCAACAAACCAGGAAAGTTAGCCAGCTAAATCGACAGGCCACAAGATCAGAACCTGAGCTTGGGAGACCCTTAGAAAATTTTTTTTTGTATAGCTATCAGATCTCTACTTGGTAAATCTCTGTTCTATTTATGTAACAGAGATTAATGAAAGAAAGGAATATAAATAATTTTTTGTCCACCATAAGTCAGGAGGAGGCAAACCTTTGGAAATGGATGCGTTCAGATGGAATTGAAATTTAGGCTTAAACAAAGAGCCAGGGTTGCAAGGTATATTCAGGTGTTAGAATGTCCTCCTTAAAAAAAGACCTAAATACCATTAAAAATGTGCTTTAAATTCTATGTTAATATACGCTCTGTACCAAATCCAAGGGCGTAGGTTTGATTTGAACTTTGGTAGGGACACAATTGGTCAGGTGTCATTGGTGCTATGCAATATGCATGCCTTTTTTTATGCTCGATGTGGGCATCCGTGCTGATAAGAGGAATTCATTGTTAAAAGAGAAAAGCAACATTTTGCTCCATTAATAAAAATGTTATAAGCACTACACTCATTAGATGCTGTTTATCAATGTTTGAAGTATCACCGGCTCTGATGAATGTGGAATTAGGACTGTTTTTCACTTTGAAAATGGTTTCATTTGAATCACTAAGACAGAAGGTAAATACAGTATTTTCTTTTGAAGATATAGAATTATGCAGAGGTAAACCCCACTCTTATATTTTTTCCTTACTATGCTCTCTCTGTATCAAGCAAAATAATACATTCATTAAAATATTAACTTCACTATAAAAGTTGAACATCTGGGCTGTAGTTACTCTGTGCTGCCCATTTCAGGTATTTTACCTGGGGCTGAAAAAATGAATTATATTAATTGATTATTTCAATAATCGTCAACTAATTTAGTGATTGATTCATCATTAACTGAAGAATAGAGACTATAAAACATAATCTAAATGTAAAATGTGCCTTTCCCCGGCAGAGCAACCCACTTAAATCAGTAATTATACCAAAATTGTAAAAATACTATATATATATATATATATATATATATATATATATATATATATATATATATATATATATATATATATATATATATATATATATATATATAAAATATTTTAAAAAATGTTTTTGTCTGTCAATATTCTCCATCCAGAACTCCTCATGTGGAAATATTTTAGTTTCACCTGGTTTATTTAGACATCAGCTGAAGCACTGAAAGGCAGCTGCTTCACCTACAAGCTGCCCTGCATCATTATTACTGGATATCTGTGTTTCCTATAATCATATAATGTATAAGTGCATTTTTAATAGTAAAGGATTAAATGACTGTTTAAATAGCTCCTTATGTATATTTTCTTTTTCAGTGGCATCATCTACAAACACAACACTAAGGATGAGCCTAAGTGTATTCAAATATAAAATCACTTTTAACAATTATAAAAGACAATATAACACTATCTTATCTGTAATTTAATATCAAAAATAAACAGCCATATTAAAGCATTTTTACCAGACATTAATGTTTGTACTAATTTACTTATAGACTGTTTGGAAATCTATGTAAGATAAAATGAATGTTGATATTCTTCATCTGTTTGTTCTTGTCTTTATCCTATTTCTAGAAGTATAAATAGTCAATTAAATTACTATTATTATGTGGAACCCTAATTATGCTTTTTAAACGATAAACAGCAGATGTTTAGGCGCAATTTCTTGTTGTTATACTCTATAAAGAGAAATAACACCTGCTAATAATTATACCTGAACTTCTTCAAAGAGTCATCAAAAAATGAAAACAGTAACAGCAACTAAATATTGGTAAAAAGGAAACCCTCACATTTTCTTTTTTAGGTGGCTGTGGCTAAGAATCAGAAATGTTGATGGCTTACAGCCTTTATTTGCCCAATTTTCCAGCAGTCTTCAGAACTCCTGGCTGACTCAGAATATTTCGTTTTATAAAAGAAAAAAAAAGGTTTTTGTTTTTTAGTGTACATGATATTATTATTATTTTTTTATTGGGACTTGTTTTGTAGCCTAATAATAACCGCAGCATTCTAATGTGAATACATTTTCAATGTTGTGCTCCAAGCACACGCGGACTAGAAAACAGCCAATCAGAGGGAGAGAAGGCGGAACCTAAGGCAGAACAACCAATGAGAGTTGAGTTAAACAGCGCAGCACAGTTCCATGCGCTGCTACATGAAAGGGACAGGAGAGACCAGGCAGAGGAGCTGCGAGAGGAAAAGAAGCCACCGCTGCAACAACTACTGCTGTAAATTATAAACATGTTGCTCACATCCAATTATTGGTAGGGACAATTAGGTCGGTTCAAAATTTTGGTAGGGACATGTCCCTATGGTCCCTATGCAAACCTACGCCCATGACCAAATCTGACCCAACATGAGCTCTATTGCAAAGAGGAAATGGGCAAAACTGTGATGTCCTAGAAGTTGGTGTAGACATAACCCAAAAGACTGGAAGATGTAACTGCAGCGACAGAAGGTTCTTTAGAGTTCTGACTGATAGAACTCTATCAGAATACAAATGGCTGATAGATTTTCAGCACTTCTATTCGTAAAAAAAAAAGAATTAAATGTTGTAAAACTTCTGTTAACAATAACGTATCTGGATGCAACATGTCACTGTGTTTTTTTTGCATTTGCTTTGAATATTACTTTAATTAATACTGCAAGGAAATGGAAGGGAATAAATAACAACCCATTCTTTAACTAGTTTAAAATGAGCATCAATGCTTCTGTGTAAGTCTATAATTAAATGTAATTGTCTTTTCTGACAGATTGATTAAAAAACTGGAACACTCTTGGAAGTCTCTGATCCACGATGGAGTAAGTTGCTTTCATGTGGCTGCTTTAATTCACCGATCAACATGAAGCTATATATTTGTACAAACTAATTAACTGTGTTCTTTCCATTGTCATTGTTTTTGGGAAGCTGTAATTAACTATAAACACTGGTTGTCTTTTAAATACAGGACACAGTATCTGTCCACAGGCCTAGCTTTTATGCAGAGAGGTTCTTTAAGTTCTGTAGCACAGTTGTCTTCAGGAAAAGCTGCTGTGAGTTCCATACTTCAAATTATTTTTCATTTTTTTTATTACTGGTATAAGTATTTAATATTCCAGCAATGTTTCGAGGTAAATGACTTCCTTCTTTTCCAGCATTACGACCATCTCCATCTAAGAGAGGTCGAGGGGCTCTCTCCTCATCCAAGTACAGTGCTGGAGCTGGACAGCGTCCCTCGCTGACTGAAGAAAGGCAGGAGAACCTGGAGAACTTGGAGAACCTGAGAGGAATCCGCAGCTTCTCTATAGTAGAGGAGAACGGTATGTTATCCTACAGACTCCTCCGATTCTGAATAGGAGCTTTGATGTAAATTGCAGTAAAGCAGCAATACTTAAATGTTACCCATAACTTTTGTTTTTCACTCTTATTTTATTACCTGAACACATCTATTACTCACCTTTGAATACTTTTAACCCCAAAGGTTTACTGTTGAGTATTCAGCTGAAAGAACTTTTTAACATATCTGTGATGTAGAAATAACCGAAAAGGCTAACCAACATGCCTGATTCATTTCAAAATCAGTGTTAACTGGCATAGCTGTCTTCTTCTTCTCTGACTCACGCTGATACACTAAGATGAAAGGAAATTGCTTAAGATGTTCAGGAAAAGCACATTTTAAACATAAAAAACATGGAACACCAGTATTGCTGTCCAGAGAGCTATACTCCAAAATCATCATCTTAAGGCTTAGCAATTGACGAGCTAAATTTATGTAGAAATGTTACAGTGTACGATCAGATGAGGTTAAGGTTTATGTGTTTGCCTACAGTGACCAAACGTATGTTGGGATGAGTCCATGTAACAAACATTGCACCACTAAAAGAGAAGTGGTGCAACGTGGGGGCACGGTGGGGGCAGAATCATGATCGGTGCCTCTTTTACCTACTGCTCTATTGGAGAACTTCCTCCAGATTTCTTTTTTTTATTATTTCATCTCATATCAACAACTAGATGCTTGCAACACAAGTGATTGTTCAAACTGGAAAATTATCCACAACAAACATTGAAACTACATTGAGATTTAATAAAGCAGGTTTACTTTATGCTTCCAGTCAGAACTGTATATAAAACGTGTGTACAGTTTTACTGTTGGAACAAAAGGTGTAGAAATATATGATTTTAATATTGTAAATTTGCTGCGTTTAGGCAAAGAGCCACCCTGCACCCCCCCATCATTGGAAGATGCAACGACTGCATCTATTGCAACCACTCTGTCATCTGACAACTCTTTACCAACCACCCCGTTCGACACTCCAGAGCATCCGCGCTTCAGAAGGCCAATGCATTCACCCAACATAGTCAGGTCAGAAATATTTGGTTTACATGTCATTAGTTGCATCATGTGAGACCAATTCATTGTTAATGTGCAATCTTACCGTGTGTTCCCTTTTGTCCTAAAAAGATCCCAAAAAGAGCCACTTGCGGCCCACAGTGAACGTCAGGACACCATAACTGTGGAGGTGGAGCTGAGGTATGTGCATAACCAAAAAAATCACAGTAAAATGTCCCAATTTTTTCTTTGCAGTATTTGATTTGTTTGTGTGTTCTCATACAGCAAGATCCCACAGAGCACGGAACTCACACAGAGGACAGGAATCACGTCTTCCAGCCAACAATCACTCAGCCATCAGACCTGCACAGTTTCTTCATCCACCCCCAGTTCTACTTGTTCGTCCTCTGCATATTCCTCCGCCACCCTTCCTCCGTCCTTTGCGTCATCCTCCTCCTCTGCTCAATGTGTTGCCCAGTCATCTGCTACACTTTCTTCATCCATCCGTCCGTCTACCAAACCACTCACCTCTTCGTTAGCAGCTCAGTCTTTAACTCTTTCCTCCACAACCTCTGATTCAGCTGCACAATCTCTCCAGCATGCTGGGTTGTCTTCGAATTCCTCCAGCCACACTCCTGCCTCAGCTTTCACTCCCATTCACCCCGCATCTGCTAGCCCCTCTCAGCATCTTCCATCAACACCTCCCTCCTCTGTCCCCTCAACCCCCCAGTTGCCTCAGGAAGCACCGTCGAAAAAGGAACCTTCGGTGTCCAGCAGCCACAGTTCGCTGGATGCGGAGGTGCAGGTTTCTGACATTTACTTTGTAAGTTTCCATCCCAGTTCTTTCTGTTTCTATCTTAGAATATATTTTAAACAATTCAGGAAATAAAATGAACCAAAATCAAATGAGAGGTCATGATCGCATATTGGTCTTAATCAGTCGAGGCCAGGTAGGGAAGATAACTTGGTTTATGTATGATCTACTGGATCTTTTGCAGTGCTCCAGTCAGGATAGCGTGGTAGAGTTATGATGGTGAGAAGTTCTCTGTCTGCACGCACTATGGGAGCTGTCCTTTCTGCTTTATCTTTTATTTTCAATTGATCCCTGATACAAGCATTTGCCTGCTTCTAACTTAAGAATAAGCTGCTCAGCATGAAAGTCTTTCCATCAATCTGCATTTATTCCTTCAGTCATTTTCACTGTCTTGTCTCAGTCTGAGTTATTTTATACTCCTCCTCTTTTTTTCTGTGTAACCCTCTAACCCTTTCATATACCTCATTTGTTCATCTGTGTGTCCAACCATCAGTATGCAGACGGAAGATACTGGGTGTACTCTCCAGTTCTCGGTCGTCGTAAGCTTAACTCTAGTTCAAGTTACAACGTAAGTCGCAAGCTAGGTAGCTATAGCAGCCCTAAAGAGGGGAAGATATAGCATTGCTGCTCCCCATTTGAAAGGGATCATTTTCATATTCATTGTTATGATTCTGCAGGAAATGTGGCAGAAACAAATTATTTTTTCATGCATTATTTGCTGCTGATGGCTGCAGAAAAATGCATCTATCAGCCTTTCAATTTCCACCATCAGCAGTAAAGAATGGATGATGCATAATGTAAAATATATCCACAGTAGGTGTAGTTGGTTAATATCACCATAAATCGACTTATAGACACCCCTTAATGCATTGGCTTTGTAACTTAGAAGCTGCGATCCTTCCTTTTCTTTTGGTTTTAACTCTAATTAATAAAGTTGCACTGTGTACATATTAAAGTCAATAAAATGACTAGGGTTATAAAATGGTGAAAAGCTGTTAAAAAAAAGTTCAGGATTTTTAAGGCCTTTTATAGACTGTTAACCTCCAGTAGATAATTATTTCGATGTCTTCATTTTTACACATTCTTTGGTCATTGGTGCTGAGACCAACCAGCAATCCAAATCAAAAGTGTTCCTCATCTAAAACTTTCTTTAAAAAAACTCAAACAATCTCAAAACCAACAGACATTTATGGCAATATGAATTTATGAACCTTTATAACATCTTTATCTTTGCTGTTTAAACTAAATGTAATCATTATTTAAATCGCAAATTAAGGTTGATTGTGATGTAGGCTACAACTAGTGATTTTATGAGAAAAAATAATATAGAGCATTTCTCATAAGAGTAAATGCTAAATATAAAAGTGAAGCAATGTAAAAAAAAAACATCTGATAACAATTTAACATAAGAATATTTTCATAGATTTTGACACTTTTAAAATAGACTTATTTTGATTAGAAATGCTTCACATCCTCTTTCCTGGTATGCAGATGTGTATCATACAGAGACATCACTGGGGCTACACTATTTTATACTTCCATTTCCTGTGTGAAAAATCTTTGGCATCTTCCTGAAAGTTCCACCTAATGAAAAGTGAAGATAAACTATATTTCAAAGTTGATTATGTAACATTTGCCTAATCCATATTCACTTTTTTATGCAAGTTATTTTTTAATTCTGCTTTAGTCATTTCCCCTGTTAGAATAACCTCCAGCTTTAGCTTCTGGGGCCACTTCATTTGGTTTCTCCTGGAAAAATACTATTTTACTTTTAGCAGAGGATGCCTTGAAAAAATCCGGAACCATTCCTTAAACTTTTAAAATATACTAAACTACTTTAAGAGGACAAATCTACTTGGACTTCAAATTAACATGAAGCGGAATAACTATTTTGGACCTAACTTACACACAAGCACAGTGCAGCTTTATTGGATTATATGTATACAATGTTTTTTTTTTTCTCATACCTTTCCCTAAAACTCACCTTTTCTTTTTTCTTGTTTTTCTGCCTCCTGCTGGATATTTTTATAACTACAGACTCAGGAGGACCAGAGCTGTGTTTTCTCACCTTTTCACTGCAGCTCAGAGTCCAGAAGAGGCTCAGATGTGGATAGTGAAACAGTAAGTCAACAGTCCATTCATGATTCCCAGTAATCTCTAAAAATACCAGAGGAAATGATTTATGTATTCCCTTTCTCTCTCCTCTATCTGATATTAATCATCTCTATTCCTCCTTCAGTAATTTCAGTCGAAGACAGCAACGGTGGGCGGAGCCAGAGGCTTTCTCCACACACACAAAAGCTGGGAGGATTTAATGATAAAGGCAGCGGGACGCTGATGATTTACTGCTGGCTGCTGAAGCTGCATGTAGGAGTCTGCTTTGCTTACAGTAAATCTTATCATCAGACATTCAGCTGAAAGAGTGCAGCTTTGCATTATGCATTAAAAAAAACTATGTACAGGGAGATTTACTGCTAAAATGGTGGAAGACTATATTATAGCCTCACAGGACAATTTGTCCAAAAACAAAGAGGGGAAATATAAATCCTGAGGTATAATCAGCTTAGTGGCACTGTGAACGATTTTGGTGTTTGTGTTAAAACTCTGTCTTGTAATATGATGTATGATGAGATATAATATGATAATCATGCTCAAGAATCAAACTGATTTTACTCCAGTAACATAAACAAAGTGTCGTAGATTTGAATTGAAACCAAATCTTTCTCAAAAGACCAGAAATCTGTGCATGCAGATTGTTTGCAGGGAGAGCAGCCTAAGCAAGGTGGTTCAAACATTCCTTTCTCTAACTCTGCCTATGCAATATGTGTTATCGATTCCTCCTATTGACTCACTTGTAATTAGCCCGGACTTCTTTGTGCATCTGCTTTTCACTAGAAGGGAGTCTTCTCTGTTTAATTTGATTTTAGCACTTTAACTGTGTATATGGTTGATTTAAAAAAACAAAACAAAGAAAACTCTGAAATAGTGTATAGCCTTTGCATACACAGCAGTCTTACTCTTCCAGTGATGAGTAGTAAAAAAAAAGACCTGAAAGCAAAAGGTTTTGCTTAAAATGCCTTATCAATTAACTCATTAGGGCTTTTTTCAGATGAAGTCATGGAAAATTATGACAGAAGAATTTAAATATGGAAAAAATATATATTAATGTAAGTAAAAAACTAATATTACTAGCAGGGTTGAGATAAGATAGAGAAAAAAATGAAATATTGAGTCAAAAATATCTTTTGTAAGTCATCTGTTTTTTATGTGCTGCAGTACATGCATGTAGGTGTGTACATGCTACTTGTGTTGTGTCTGCATGTGTTTGCATGTCTACAATGTATGACTGGGAGACGCATATGTTATATTTTTCTGTGTTGAAATTGTCAAAAGGTATTTGTAAGAAATCATTAAATGCAGCAGCATCTCATCAGATTAGAAAATCAGCAGGAAATCAAGATTTTTCAGAAAACAATTCAAAAAGTGAACAGATTGAGTGCAATCAAATGATTCATTTTGAATGTTTAGATTTGTTAACTTTAATAAATATATAACCCAATAAGATTTATTGTTTCAATTTTAGAACCCATCATTTAGAACCCATAAAAAATATCTGCATTGAAAAGCAGTTATGAAAATGCTGCTCACACAGTTGGCCAGCTTTAACGTAAACCACATTCGTTCATTGCTAAAGAATATTATTCTATGTTTTTAGCGCAATCCTTCCAATAAAGATGCATGTGGCTCTTGGTTCAGAAGCATCCAAGTTCGACTCTCTGTCAAACTTTCTTTCCTCATGATCAAGACGCTTTATTTTCCAAAAAACAAACAGAATTTCTTACTGCAGTATGATGTGACAGGCAGATCATATCGGCTCATTTTGTTCCTTTTTATGCCACTCCAAAAAAATAAAAAAACAATAATCAATAGCGGTTAAAAACTGTATGGCTGCTTGCCTGAATCCAAGAGCTCACCTGGCCCCAATAGCTAACTCCAATATATTCCAGGTGCTGCAGTCTACCTGCAAGAAACAGCATAAATTATTTACAGAAGCAAAAATACAACTAAAGAAATTCATTATTTCATAATTAAGTCAACTCATACCAAAATATTTCATGTGATGTCATACTAAATACGATAAAAATAGTAAACTAGAAATAATAAATAATCAGTCATAAATCAAGCATTTGGCTCCAACAATGTTATTGGAACATTAAGTGGAAGGAAAAACATAAGAAAAGAGAATGCCGTCTTTCCGTAGTTGTAGTCTGTCCTGCAATGTTCTATTCCTAATTTTCCTTGCAGGATTTCGGGAGGGTTGGTCTTTCTAAAGAGGGCTTTAAGTAAAAGGTGGGATCCAACCCACAAGTTCTTGGATAGACTGGTGAACTTTCTCCTTGATAGGTCATCAGTTCAGCCAATAACACACCAGATGAATAACCATACATTTGAATACCTAATGGCATTTTACAGACAGCTTACTTTTATTACCATTAAAGACTTAATAGAAATACATTACATCAAATTGTATGTTTAAAATGTGTTTCACTTATTGAACTACTGCCATTGAATATTTTAAATTCCAGTTCACTGAGATTCCTTTGCATTTTAATTACCTGTTTTCATCCTCTGACTGTATGAAAAACAGTACTGCTGAGTCAGTGTTTAATGAAGCACGATACATTATAATGTTTGCAGAACTGAAAGATTTCCAGTTTTCTGGACACTTAACATTGCAATACATCCTCTTTGAACCTTTTAAAACATCAAGAGGAGAATTAGTCCCTGCCAGAGTTGCTTTTGTACTGTATTGTTTGAGACCGCTCATGTAAACTCGCCTGTTTGTGGGCGACAGTGTTTGTAGATTATCACTGTGAGAAAAAGAAATAAAATACTGTTGTGTAAATATTGCTGGTTAGTTTCTAATACGTTAAACCATCTGTCATGTTCTTCTCTTTTAGTCCACCAGATGGCACTGCAGTGCCTAAAAAGAAACAGATCTCAAAGTTGCTGCATCTTGATTGTTATACATCAACACACTGCTTTGTTATCTAAAATTGACCTCTCTTTGTTACATTGAGAATCACATCTCACTGTCTTGTGCTCTAAATTAAAAGACATCAGCGGGGCCGGTTTCTCTTTGTGTTCCCGATGGACTGTAAAAATGAGGCCAATATTTGAAGCCATGTTCCACCGCCCTCCTCATAACTGACAGGTTAATGCACATAAACATAATGATATGAAATCTTTATTGCTTCAGTGAGTATGGCTTGTTTGCTTTATGGACAAAGGCTGTAATGCCTACTAATAAGATGACAGATGGTAAAAAGATTCAATCATCCTTTCACACCAGCCAACTTATTTATGTTTTACCTGCAGTACATTGCTGGCTTTGTACATATTTTCAAATTTTATTTCAGGTGGCCATCATCTTCAATGGAAATTCTTTAGATATCTGAAAAGTTTGTCAATCTTTCTGAGACACTTTTATGAATCCAGTTTTCAATTCCACTTAGAACTTTTTGTTTAAATCAGCTTTGAACATTTGGACAGTTTTTTCCAATATCCATGAACTTAAACTCTGTCAAATAGTGAAAAATCTATCTTCAAATTCCTACCAACATTTTTAATTAGATTTAGATCTATGCCATTTAGCTATACGTCTAGGGAAAAGTAAAGTAAACCTTCACCACAGCTTTACTGCCTTATGCAGATTTTCCTCCTGCTGCCCCTGCTGTAGAGAAGCACATCCACTGCATGATGCAGCTACCTTAGTCTCTCACTGAGGGCACTGTATGTTCAGGGTGTTTTTTTTTTTTAACCACACATTCCATTTCGCATTCAGGACAATGTCTCATCATCTGACCTTCCTTCATACGTTTTCTGCCTTCCCCTTATGGCAAACTGTTGAGGGAAATTATTTAGTTTTCTTTCAGCAATTAAAAGGGTCTAACCACTTCTACTTAATTCTACTGAGTGCATAAAAAATAAATGTTCTCTCAAGAAATTTGTCACACTAAGTTTTTGATTCCTGCTACTCCTTCGGATTTACCCTGGGTCACCCAACTGAAACCCTGAATATCTATTTTGCCCAGTATGTAAGGTTTGGGTGAATGTCTGTGTTTTGGTGGGTCGGCAGTTGTTCCAACATTTTTTTATTTTTAGCTGCTGGATTGAACATTCTCTGTCAGGTATCCAAAGTATTGGACGCTAATATGTAACCTAACTGTACTCTAAATTCCTCCAAGACCTGTTTGCTGTATTCCCCGGTCTTCAAAATGCTGTTTGTTCACTAAGGTTTATTAAGCAAAGCTTTGCAGCTGCTGCAGAACAGCTAGGTTAATACTTAGGTTAAATTACTCACAGGTGGTTTCTATTTGCCAAGTAGTCAAATTTAAGAGAGAGTTGTTAAAATTGATTTATTTTAAGAGTAAAAAGGGGTATGTGTAGACACCTAAGAATTTAGCCTAGCTGTAGCCTCTCTTCCATTTTGTTTTCATTCATCTTTTTTGTGTCACATTTGACCAACTGATGCTAAATGTTACTGAGAACTGTTTTTAATGCAAAAAATAAATAGATAAATGACAATAATAATAATAATAATGTGGTGTTTTAATACTTTTGTAAGAAACTTCATATTCCAGTAATTTGCAAACCTATATAAAAATGTGCCAGACTTGGACATTTAAAACAAAATCAGTGTTACAGAAAACATCAATCTAATAGTTATGATTAGCAGCCTTTTATTATTGCCTGTTTTAAGGTAATGTTAATGGTTATGTTATATGTGGTATTTTCTCACACCCTGTATTTTCTCTTGCTGTGCTATTTTAGTCCATTTAAAACAGCTTTATGTTTTAAAGGCCCATTTTGGGATGGGCATTGCAAAGTGCTTATTGTTATAAATGTTCAAGTGTTCAGCTTTTGTTTCCCCATAGAAAATAGAAAATAAAGAAGAAACGTCCGACTGTGTGTACTTGATGTGTAAGCTGGAGTTGTGAATGTCACTCATGGTGACAAGTCAGCCCTGTCTGGCCATGATGGAATGTGTGATGGACAAGGATCAGCAACCACCTGCGCAACTGGCCTGGAAGGAAATCGTCCTTCTACACACACCCAGATCCATACAAGCACTTAATCCTTTTTCTCCTCTCTGCCTGTTCAATCACCTCTCAGATACCTGTCAGCAGGGGTTCCAGTAAAACGTCTAAAAACTGAGCAGTGAGATGAAACCATAAATTAGGCTACCTTAAATTTAATAAGAATGTCCTCTCTGTTTTCCTGAAAGGTTCCTCAGTTGTTGTTGTTGTTTTAAATGAAACAATTATCTGTTTGCACAACTCAAAATGGTACCGTCTGATGTTAAAAAACTATAATAAACTATAATAAAAGCTGTTTTAATTAGCAAAAGTCACACAAAGACATTGCCCCAAAGCCAGACTAACTAAAACAGATGTTGCTTATGAAATTATTCCTTACGAGGACAGTTTGGGATTGGTTTAAAGACATGTTGGGTGTAAAAAGTTATTATCAGGTAATATTTTACCTCCAGTATTAACTGTTTTGGTGTATTTAAATATAGCTTAGAGATGGACAGAAAGCAAAGTTGGCTCCAACCACCTTTCAGGAAGAGAAATGGTAAATGGCATGTACTTATATAGCGCCTTTATTCAAGTTAGGAGACTTGACCAAAGCGCTTTACACTACATTTATTCACCCATTCATTCATGCACACACTCACACACTGATGGTGGCAAGCTACATTGTAGCCACAGCTGCCCTGGGGCTCACTGACAGACGCGGGGCTGCCGTACACTGGCGCCACTGGGCCCTCTGACCACCATCAGTAGACAATGCAGGTGAAGTGTCTTGCCCAAGGACACAACGACACTGAAAGTCAAAGTCGGGGCTTGAACCGTCAATCCTTCGATTTCAGGGCAAACTCCTACATCCAACGCCAATGTCGCCCCAAAGAAATCTCAGATATGGCTCAGTAGTTTATGCAGAGGCCATTTTATGACAAGTACAAATATAAAACCATTGGTAACCATCAGCACTTTGTAATTCTTATTTAAAATTAAACACATAAGAAAAAGGATAAAGACTGGTAAGGTCGGTTCATTCCTTTTCTTCCTTGGCTTGTTGACAAAATTGAAGAAAAACACATAAGATGGAGATTTTTCTTTGATCTGAAGAGGTCTCTCTTTCAATATCATGTTTGTGGACATGTTTAGTGGATACGTCATGTGTACTGGCCCCTTGCCCCTATCCGGCTAAGGATGTTTCAGCTCACGGTTTAAATTGACAGTCAAAGGCAACCCCCCAAAAAAAGTTTTTAATCTTGATTTTAACCCATTTAGGGTTTTTTGCATTAAATATCCTCTGGGAATTTGTTCCAGACAAGTGAGGCATAGGAACAAAATGCTGCTTAACTTGTGTTGTTTTTAAAAAAATATATATCCTAAGTATGCGGAGCAGGTAGATACTAAATAGAAGGGGCCACAAGATAGAACCTTGTAGAACTCTGAATGGGATGTTTGATGTAAAGACCAAAACAGTCTGTCTTTTAAGTAGGACTTCAACTAGTCAAGTGCTGTACTAGAGAGGTTGACCTAAATGTCAACACAACATGAGCTTTCTAGTAAGATATACCATGTTAACCATACTTTTTTTGTTGAAGTGTTTCATGATCTAAATGATTTATGTTGTTTAGTGTAAAAATACAAAAACAATTTACTGTTTATCTGCATTCAGTACAAATTGATTTAACCCATGAAGAAAAAATCTTTGAAATGAGGGTGCAAGAGTAGCCATCAGACCTTTATGTTGCCTTCACTTGAGGTCGCTCTGGTTATCTGCCTAAACCCAATTTCACGCATGTCAGTTAAACCGGAGACAGGATAAATACCTTTCTTTGTCAGCTCTCCTTTGCTCCTCCTCTACATGCTCCCATCCACACATCCGACACCTGCGATTCTGAATGGGAATAATAGGCTTCTGATTATCATGATGTCTTCTCCAAAACAAGATGACAAATGAACCTAATAAATCACCTTCAAATTGAAAACATTATATGTTATATTAATGAATGAATAAATAAATAAGTAAATAAATAAATAAATTAAAGAGGCAGCACCTGTACCAAAGGTGAATGGGTCATCTCAAAGCTGAGCTTTCATCTGCAGGGAACATAGACAAATGCCTTTGTTCCTTCAAAGAGAAGAGGGGCGAAAGCCACAACAAACAGGGTGAGTGTGCACCGTGTGTGGGTGTGTGCATGCGTCTGCACGTGAAAAGGAAGGAAAGCGAAGTTGATGGAGAGAGAAAGAGAAAGAGAGAATGCAGAGACAGATCAAAGCAGGGGGTATGTTTTTGAAACCCTGTGTGGGAGGTGAAGCCTCACCTACCCAGAATGCCTTGCCTCACTCCTTCCAGCCCACTCAGGTTTTTAGGAGCATCACTTCTCCTTTCCAGCCTTTGCAGCACGTTGTGCCACCTCTTCATCAGTCATCTCCAGCTATTCTCACTGAGTCTTGAAGCAGTGATTTGATGCGAACCAGCACTCACTGTCTGATCTGAACTATGAAACCTGGAGCTTAGAAAAATACTTCTTATATTTCAATCTCAGAAGCTTTCAGTGCATTTTAGACATTGTAAAGAAAAAAAAGAAAACTCACAGAACATTTCTTTGTTACAGGCTTTCTAACTGGATCAGAGCCCATCCCCCGTTTCCCACTATCAGGAATCGAAACATCTCTTTTTAACTCAGCATCAGGGGTTGCAACCAGATGTGAGTCTGTCCACATAGAGAGGATGTCATGCCCTCTCTGAAGCATAAAAAAAGCTGTAAAAGACTCTCCATAGCGTTGTCAGTGTCTTAAGGCAGTGTTTATCTTTGGCAGGCTA